GCTCACAACGAAAGAATTACTAGAACAAGGAAAACGAGTTGCATTGCATTGAAAACTTTCAAAACATAAGGGAAAAGAAACATAGGCAAATACAAATTGTCCTAAGAAACAACTTCCTCTGGCTGAGTTTCCCCTCAGGGGGGCAATTTCCTCAACTAAATCCTCAACCTCGTTGCAGGGGTAGAAGGCTCGGTATGAAGGAACTCTTCTTTCAAGGCAGCAAGGTCCATCTGAGGATAGTGCTGGGAGAGCTTGTCAAAGACCTCATTGTAAGCAACCCTCCTGAAATGGATCTCAAACCCCTCATATTCCGCAGTTTCATGGAAATGGGCAACATATTCGTTCATCGCCGCCTCCCCGCCCCGTTACAACTGCTGGCCAAGGTTGGAGACTTCAACGTTGAGCTCATCAACTCGAACCCTCAGCTCACCCTTTTCCTTATTAGCGGCCTCCAAGGCTGAAGCAGCAATCTTTTGAAGGGTATCAGAATTTTCGACCCGCTTAATTAAGACATCCACTTCAGATTTGCATAGATGGGTCTCCTTTTCAGCTCCTCATTTTCCTTGGAGAGAGCTTCCACCTTACCTTCAGACTCAGCGCACTTCAGCAGCCTTATTTGCAGTGGAGGCCACAACATTAGCTTTAAGCATGCCAAACTCGACGTTTTGAGCTCGATTGAGATAATCCTTGACAACCCCTTGCATACGCCGTGCTTCTATCTGAGCACTTATAAAGAAGTTTTGGGAGCGAACCTGCATGGCAAGTCCAGCCTCCTTCAAGTCGACTACTTCGCGGTCTCAGCATGAGAAGAATACATGTCAGTCCAATATTTATGGTCGAGCTTCGCTGTGCCCTGAACCTCTGCAGGAAGCATCTCTATAACGACGAGAGCTATCTCATCCGGCCTTCTACCTAAAAAATTCTGAGTTTTTTCCCCAGACTGGGCACTCATCGCCTCCCTCCTTCTTCCTCACGAGGCTGGTCCCTTCCTCGACCGCCTTTTCCGTCGAGGGGCCTTCAGTGAGAAGATCGGTTCCACAAGAATAGGCCTGGCTAGAGACTCCCCAATTGTGGTTTGTCGTTTACGAGTGGGGTCGGGGCTAGTGTTTTTTGTGATCACGAGCTTCTTCTTTAAAGGCCGATCCGACGGGCCCCCCGCTTCCTTCTCCTTACTTTTCTCTCCGTCTTTCTCAACAGGAGGGCGTGGTTTGGTTTTGGAGAGGCGGTAGTTCATCCCACTGGTACTTGTAAGAGGAAGAGCCAGCACCCATAGGTTTCTTCCTCTAGGCCTCCCTAAGACTCCTCAACTGAAGCAAGGTGGGCCTCACCCACTTTTTGTTATGGTGTTGACCTACAAAGAGTATGAAGATTTTAGAGTAATCACACCAAGAACAGAATGGTAAAACAAAGGATCATCCCGCCTTACCTTTATACCTTTGGTAGTCATTAGTTGATGAATGACGAAAAGGGCCCTTTTACTGATAACGTTGTTAAAATGCCTCTTCTCTGAGGGGAGCACGTAAATGGATCGAATCTCGACCCACTCAGGAGGTTCAAGATCGAACCGGTCAATCGCACCTGCACAAAACGCACTGTCAGAAAAAAGAGAACAAATGACTAGCGCACGAGACAAAATACTACAATAAAAGAGCTTGACTCACTATACTCGTGATACTGGGTGGGAACGACGATCTTTGGGACCACATTCCCTTCCATCGTTTGCCAGCGAACCTTGACCCAAAACCAGGAGGATTTCCAATTTTTGATAGAGGTAGGGGTCCCCAGGATGAAGGGCGAATGTGGACCCCAGGGATTCATAAAGTACCACCATTTACAGTCACTCCCCCCATAGAACCCCGGGGTTGGAATAGGGTTTGAAAGACATGTGGGGGACATATCCCCACCAAGTGTTACATCCTTCCAGAGGAGAATGGCCCCCATCAGCTGGCTCTAAGCATTCGGTACCAATTGGGTGGGAGCTAAATTGTAGTCTCTGAGAATAATGCTAAAGAAGGGGTGTAACGGCTGCCTTATCCCCAACTCAAGATCGTCTCGCTCACTGCTACACAGCCTTCCCTAGAAAAGCAGGCTCTTTCCTCCTGGGTCAGCACTAGCAACTCAACATTGTAAGGGATCCTAAACCTATCCCTAAATCCTTTAATCTCATTTTCCTTAATATATGTTGGCCATAGAGAGGCCCCCACCTCACGATGTCATCTATAGGACTTCCCGCCGCCTCCTCAAGTTGCCCAGTGGGCACCACCGGAGGAATTCCCACCTCGGTATAGGTCAATGCCAAAGTTATCCTAGGGGAACCCCCTTCTGCACTCCTATCAGATTCTAAGGCCATCGAAATAAAGGAGAAGACAAGAAGAGAAAAACTTGGAACAACAAATTGATAAATACTTACGCAAAAACCTAACAAGAATCGAATCCCGGAGAACCTTGAAGTCAATGAAACGGTTGATCACCAGTGAAAACGAAAGGTTGCTGAGCTCGGAGAGAAGAATCTTTGCACTTTAGATTTTAAACCTTCGAAAAAGTGAAAAAAGGCGAAGAGTATGATCTCCCTACCTTTTATAGGCTTACCTAATGAACCTCCCACTGTTGGATGTTGCACCAATTTAATCTGAACCATCCATCTGTCACCCTATTGTTTGCGTAAAAACCAAAAGGCGCTCATTCGAAATTCGAATCAGAGGCCCGGATCAACCCGTGCAATACACGCACCCAAAACTCATGTATACCTAGATAAAGATGAGATGTCATCATCATTGCGCATTAAATGTGCATGTCGCTCGAGCCTTGGAAATGATCAAAAATATCCAACTATCGCTCATTGGGAATCATTATACCTAATCATCACAAAAGGCCCTGCCTTCGTATGGTTCGTCCACAAAAGGGCTCTGCCTTTATACGGTTCGTCCATAAAAGGGCCCTTCCTTCACATGCTTCGTCCAAAAAAGGGCTCTGCCTCATACGAGCGTAAGCAGGAAGCAGGAGAGCCCCACGTCGACTCTGGCAGGTGAGAAAGGGTTTCTATTTCATCGTTTCAGGCTTCAAAGTCCACGCAAGATATGAATAGTCATACCTGGACTTAGGGGACTGATGTTACTTATATAAATAATCGTAAAAATAAATGTTACGTGGTAAGCGGACGAGCCCACAGGTGGCATAGCAATAGGCGACCCTGTATATGCCGAAGACACCCTAATTCGAACGCTGCTCATTCGGTCCCCATTGGCAGAGGCGTCAGCTCGTTCCTAGCGAGGTGATAAGTCAATCAATAGCATACTTAGTGAAATAATTGACAAGACAATACCCTGCCGTGCCATCTTTACACGCCTACGCAATCAAATCCTATGTCAGGGGAAAAGATAAGGGGATCTACGCATTAATAGCTTGATTGATTGACTATAACGGGAACCATTAGATCATCTACCATCGAACGGACCCCGCGGGTTCAAGATGAGATATAAAAAGCCTATGCTCCATACGTAAAAGGGCAATGCAAATTTACACATCAAAAGTAAACCTTGATTCTCTCCATTACACGCCACGATCGACCCCCTTTTTATGCACCATGCAACCTGAAATAATAACCCAGGAAGTGCTGTGAACCATTCCCCGTGTTGATTCACCAATAAAACTAGTAGTTGGATTCAAGCATATGGTGATTCGATCTACAAGGACCCGAGTTTCAAATTTTTTGTTGGCCACTTCATAGAACCATTTTTTGGGGTCAACTGAAACGATTTTCAATAAATATACTAGCACAAGACAAGTTTAACATCCATGATGGAGGATAAAATAGTAAGACTACAACTGAGATTGTAATGGAAAAGATAAATTTCCTCCGCATTTACAATAAAAGACTACATTAGATGATGTTCTCTTTGTCATTTTTATCCCATTTTCTTTTTTCGATTTTTCAAAATAGTGAAAACACGTTTACTTACCTATTTTCAAAAACGAGTTTAAAATTTACGAAGAAAATCGAAAATGTCAAAAATGTCGTTTTGAATGTTTTCAGTTAAAATCAAGCCAAAATTTTCAAAACGTGTTTTTGGTGTTTTCGGTTAAGCCATCAACAACCACCGCCATTGTTGCCCCCACCGCCGACGACATCACAGCCACAATAGCAAAAGAAGCCGGCGACGCCATCGCCACTGACCCAAAACCACAGCCAACGCCACTGTGAGATGACAGAGACGACACCAACCCAAAATCATCGCACACCACCACAACGAGACTACACAAAAACACCACATACCACCACGCCATCGATCCAAAACCATCAACCCAATATCATTTTATACCAGCCACAGCCACAGCCATAGCCCCTATGCCACCGACCCAAAAACCACCGCGAAACGACAGAGAGGAGAGACGACAGAGAGAGAGGGGAAGAAGAGAGAAGAGAGAGAACAAGTTTTGAGTGTTTTCATTTTTTAAAATAATTTTTCAAAATGATAAAAAGAATACATTTTCAATAATTTCAAAATAAACATTCGAAATACAACACCCAAAATGAATTCAAAATTTAAATAAAAAACTAAAATACGAAGGGAACATCCCCTAAATTTATTAAATAAATGAACAAATACAGTAAAAGACTACACTACATTAGAAGCAGGATGTCACGACTTTAGTTCTCACTTCTCACGGGACAACATTGGAGGAAAGCTAACCGTCCTTAAGCAACCGAGTGTGAAATTACTAAGAAGGACATTAGAGATAAAGAATAGGGGTTAGTAAGGAGTTGCCTTTTTAACTTGGGCGCTTAACATTAGAATTTTCTCCTCCTCCATTTTCCTCTTTGAACGCCTTTTTCTTTTTGCTATTTTTCTCTTTGTCAGTATTGCCCGTTCGATCCTTTTATTGTAAATATAAAATAATTAGAGCCTTCGTTTTTGTTTTTCTTAATTTTTTTTTTGTATTGGTAAATTCTAAAGCAGAAATATATTCTTCAATTGATACGAAAAATTTAGAGCTCGGAAATGAAGTCACCTCTGGGGAAGCTGAGAACATTCGCACTGCACAAGGTCGATGCCAAGGAAAATTGGGATCACCATGTTTCGGCGCATTTACACGGGCTGGCTCAAGCTGCAAAGGTGGATCTTATTCTTATTCTTCTTTTCGAACAAATATTGTTTTTACTCGTGCTTTAACTTTACGCCTTCTCTCTCTTATTAATCAAGTGTTATTGAATTGAGGTTTTAGTGTCAATTTCTTTGTACTGGTGATGCTTTAATTTCGGAGGCAATGTTGATGCCTCGGTCAAGTGTATTGGGTAGCTTTGTGCAAATTTCAACATACGATAATGGTCAATCAATTTTTGTGACCAAAATAAAGTTGAAAAAAAAATTTAATTTTGAAATGTTCATTCAATTAATTGGATTTTTATATATATAATTCCTAAATTCTAGAGGCGCAACTTTTTCCCCTTTGTGCAGTATCCCATCAAGTACACCATACTTAAGTGTCTTTGAATTTATTGGGCACATTTTTTCCATTATATGAACAATTGGTAGCCAAAGGTGAACTGGCGTGCTAATGAAAGTTCTAGTTGTATGCTAAAAGAGTAATAGTGTAGGTTCTACTTTTTTACTGTAAATCTGGCGTTTATAACTTGTAATATTTTTGAAACAATTTTCCATAGGTTCTCTTGCTTCATGCAATCTTATTGTCTTTCTGTATGATGCATTATGTTTACAGGATATGAAAGACATGAGAACTTGCTATGATAGTTTACTCTCTGCAGCAGCTGCTACAACAAATAGTGCTTATGGTAATTGCTTGATGTGATCTAATAGCTGAAGTCGTATTTCAATCTTAAAATCTCATTCGGATAGAATTTTCTAACAGCAAGTAGATCTAAACGCATGACCTGAACTGCTGTGTGGTTTGAACTTGTCAACGCTAATGGCTTTGTTTCCTTTAATACATGTTTTAAATTGGTCATTTGATTCCACTATATCTTATATTAGAATGCCAACAGAGAAAACATAAGTCAGCCAGAAGTTTTCGGTAACTTTACTTTTTTTTCTTACCTTCCAAGGATACATCAAAGCCCATCCAAAATGATGATCTAAAGTCCACGACGTTGGATATCAATCTCAGTTTCTTTCTCTGTTGATCACTGTGATTGGCACTTATTCTTATGTTTTCCTTTGTATCAAGGACTAATAAATCTTTTCTTCAAATTGTTCTTTTTTCTTGCTTCTGGCTTCTCTCCTAACCATTAACAAATCTACTATACTTGTTTCTATCTATATATTAGAGAAAGAAGCAATGCCAATCACTCACTATTCTTGTTTTATAATTTGAAAATTCCTCAAATCTAATCTGTTCAAAAACCCTGTATTTAAAAATCCAGAAGATAGTTAAGTGATTAGAAAGAGCAAAATAACTACAATATTCCAACAATGAGATGTATGAATTTAGATCACTATTAAGTGACCGATTGCTTCATGCTTTAATTTTTATCAAAATTCAGTAATCTGTCATCGGTTTGATTCTTTTCCTTTCAGAGTTTTCGGAGTCATTGTCAGAGATGGGGAATTGTCTGCTGGAGAAAACTGCTATAAATGATGGTGGAGAAAGTGGTAAGCCGAGGGGTTCTCAAAGCTTCATTCAGAAGATTCTTCAAGTTTCTTGTCTCCTTTCCAACCTTTGGAATTGCTAAATTTCTCCCTAATTCCTATCTGTTTATAGTCAAATGTATGATTAAATTTAAGTAAAGATACTTAGCCCTTGTTTGGTTTAAGCTAAAAATAAGAATTTTAGTAGATTTTGATAAAATTTAATGAAACATGTGGTTGAAAAGTTGTGGAATCCATGAAATATGTGATTGAAAATGAGTTTTAAAAAATGGGGCGAACAGGGGCTTAGTAACCTTTTTTGGGGAAAATATACTTGGTATCTTTGTAGAATCAGCAACTTAAGCTTGAATTATAAGTCAAGAAAAATGATGTCATCTTCCTCTTAACATAATTTTTATTTATTTTGTATACTTGTAATATCTTGGATTCATATTCTTCAGCTTACTTTCTCTTCTTCGGCTCCCCATCTTCATTTTCCCCATTGCTTGAAGCTCCTAAGCTTTTTTGCTCTTTGTTTGCATCAGAACTTCTCGAACTATCCTTCTATTGCTAAAGTTGGAAAGCAAAAATCAAATGCCTTTATGTTTTTGCAGGCAGATCATTAGCAATGCTGGGAAGGGTTCAGCTTGAACTCCAGAAACTTGCTGATAACTATGTGCGTGTTTATTGCTGAGCCAATGGTCATGAATTCCCAATTTATTTGAGATCACGATTATAACTTCCTTTTTTTATATTTCAGCGGTCTCATATTATCAAGACAATTACAAACCCATCCGAGTCTCTTCTAAGCGAGCTACGGAAAGTGGAGGTTTGTTCATCATATACTGTATTCAATCTGATCTTGTAAAGATCTGTATCTGAACTCTAATTTCTATATCTTATTAACACGCTGGGGGCATTCTGTCAACATAAACAGCTTTCTCTAAATCTTTGATAATTGGCACAATTTTGATGGTCGAGAATAATGCTTTCTTAAATAGAAAAGCTCATTGTAATTTGATGATTGGCACAATATGAGAATATATTAATGGGGCTCATTATAACTAAACAGTTGATATGGTCCTTGAGGAGCTGATGAAACTGTTTAAAGATACTAGAAAGTGCTGCATATGACATTACTCACTGACTTTGCTGCATATGACATTACTCACTGAATGTGGTCAAGAAAAGTGGAACATTGTTTTTGAGCAATAAAAAGTAACTCTGATAAAACATCTGTAAACTCTCTCTCTCTCTCAATAAGAAAGAAGAAATCCTCCCATCCATCTGCAAATTGGTATCTCTGAGGTTGCGTTGAACACCTTCATGAGCTGGTAGCTACTAAATGACTTTATCATTTTTTTATTGCATTTATATAGTATGTGAACCGCATTCTAATTCATTAATTTCGTCCTGTTTACTGTTGCTTTTGTTTGCGGGGCATACTTCAATAATATTCTCCGTTTCACTGGTGCAGGAGATGAAATTGCAGTGCGATGAGAAAAGGTATACATTTTTTTTCCATATTTATCTGCGGAATATTTTTTCCTGTGTTGCATTGATTGATTGCTTGCATGCTATCAGAGAGATGTTTGAATACATGGTGGGACAATATAAAGAAAAGGGAAGGTCAAAACATGGAAAGGGAGAGACTTTTACATCAATGCAATTGCAGACAGTTCGTGAAGAATACGATGAGGCTGCAAGGCTTTGCATTTTTCGTGTAGAATCCTTGAAACAAGGACAGTGCCAAAGTTTATTAACACAGGCAGCACGTCACCATGCGGCACAGGTGTTCTTGTATTGTTAGGACTTCAAGTTTAATCTTTTTCAACTTCTTTACATGCCAAATGTGCATTTATCTTTATATTATTCATCTATTTTTCGTAAGCAGTTAAATTTTTTCCGGAAAGGACTTCAATCTCTTGAAGCAGTTGAACAGCATATTAGAAGTGTTGCAGATAAGCAACATATTGATTATGAACTACGTGGATTGGATGATGGTGATGGTGAAGATGAAAGGAAAAGATTTGAGGCTAATGATGTTGGAGAATTAAATTTTGACTATAGGCAAAATCAGCAGGAGCTCGACCATGCTTCCATTTCAAGGAACTCAATGGAGGTGAGATTGCTTGCTAATCATTTACCTTCAAACTGTCACATAACTTTTCTAGTTCATTTAATAAAGTTTTGAAACTTATTATTCCACTTGAATTATTAATTTTTAGTTCTAGGATCAGCTTAAGTTCAATGTTTATATTTATTCTTTTTTAGCTACAAGGTAAGTTGATTGTTTTTTGGATGCCAAATCCTTTGGATTAAGAATCTAATATAACTAGAGAACTATGGTGTTGTAGATTATAATTTCCCACATTAGGGATATTGCCAGGAACACTTTAACTCAGCAACGATAAATTGTAAAAGAACTTTACAAGAAATAATTTTGCTAAGTTTCTTCTTAACCCAGGATCTGGGAAACCTCTGCTCTCTTTTGTTGTGGCCATGCTTTGGCAAGTAACTACTGAGTGATTGAAAATAGAATATGTAAGGGACATCCATCTAAAAAACGGTAGATAGGTGATCTTTTGAAAACCCGCAAGTGAACGAGATCGTGAATAAGTAATAAAGTAGTGAATAGAGTGTCGAACCCACGAGGACTATGTGTTTGACCGAGTTAAAATTAATTGTAACTTTAATTGAATAGTATACAAATTTTGTGATTTTTTTTTAATGCTAATACCTAAATTATCAATTAAACTAATGAAAGTAAATGTATTTTTCAAATATGTGAGATGCATTGATAAGATGTCGAATTCCCCTTGTTATTCCATTTTTAGTGTAACAATTAAATTAATAATTTGAAATTATTTATAGTTAATGTTTTTAATTTAATTGAAAGCTTCTCTCGATAGCAATTAAATCCCCCTTATATTAATCTTCTATCTTTCTATGAAAGATGCAAACATGATAAATGCATTAACAAGCACTAGAACACCTATTGAAACCATATAAAGCATAGAGGTATATCTCTATCATCTATTGAACCTTACAATGTTTATTATAATGTGCTTGAACCCTATTATCTCTCTCGATAACAAATCCTAGCAATGTATAAAATTAGCCAAACATATCGAAATTACAAGAAATAATATTTAAGTGAAAAGAAAACCCGAATTTTTGATAAATTTAGAAGATGAAGACGAATCTTGAATCTCGTCAATGGTTTCTTGATGAATCTCTACTTGGCCTTCTTTTTGCCCAAAAATAAAGTTTGATCTTCGCTTGATTGAATTCTTGCAAATCCCTTTCAATTCTCTCACAAAATTTTTGAATTTTTCTCCTTCGATGATAATAATTGATGAATATTGGAGTATAATCTGTATATCAGAGGTCCACAATATGTATTCTGTTATTTGTTTGTAGGAGTCGAAAATTGATTGAAAATCACGTCCAAATTGGATTTCAAAAGAGTTTCAATCGAATAAGGAATGTTGTCCTCGCGCTCGATTTTTTATCTCTGCACAACAGTCAGTATTTTGACCATAACTCTCTCGATATTCGATTGAGGCGGTTTAAAGTGCTTTGGAAAGCTAATTCAAAGAGCTGCAACTTTGATAGAAATAGAATTTTCCCAATTCGAATGTTTACTATGCCAAAAATGAATCTCAATTTTCGACTAAAAATTTGGAATATAACTCGTGCAATTGGAAATTGACTTTGATAATATTTTAATCATATTCCATTCCTTTTTGAGTTCTAATTCCATCCAATTGTCTCATAGCAATTTTCAAAGTATCTTCTTATGTCCGAATCACCTATTGAATAATTACAATTTCGTCATCAAACTTTAAATTTTGCCATTTTCACCATTTTTCGCTTCTTTATTTCGATTTTTCGTCCAACCATTGAGTTTTACCTATATAGCATAAAATACAACAATTTAAAATATATTTTATCAGAAAAACTATCAAGTATTACTATTTTAGACCCTGAATAAGTGTATAAAATACACTTATCTATAAGCTTTGACACCTGGAAATGCATGTAATGCTATTGACATATGCTTATGCAATTGAACAAATAATTGCGAGTAAAATGATCTACTGATTTATTAAGGAAACCCAACTAAAATATCCATACTATATCATCTAAGTTGCATCATGAAGCGATAATTTGCCAAAATGTTTAAATTTTTTATCCATGTCAAAACGCTTATTTTCTATGAAGAAATTCATGCATTTGATCAAGTGATGTAATTTTATTTGAACTTTGTCTTTGCACTCAAACTTGTGCTCCGGATCTCAATAATCCTTTAGAATGGGAGAATTAGGTCACTTATGAGTATGTCATTTCCATTTCAATTGTCAGCACTTGATGTTCTTTTAACTGTGAATATAGATGGTCGTCATCTGGCCATTAGATCTTATGTAATATGGTTTGTGCAGATAAATCGTGGTAAACACCAAGGGGAGCAAATTTCCGGTCAGCAACCTCGAGGAGGCAGTCATTCTGCTCCAATATTTGCAGAGAAATTTGATCCTGCTGAAAGAATCAGAGAAATGCAGATAACTGTGCCGAAACTTAATACACATGTGCTACCCACTCCAGCTGATGCAATGAGTTCAATGACAAGCAGTTTTACCCTCCTTTCAAGCACCGCAAGCTCTAGTGGGAGCAACAAAAATACATGGAATTCATCGCCACTGGATGCAGAGAAGCACAGAAAATTCCCTGATGATAATTTGTATGCACGTAAATTCCCAAAATCCGAAATAGCAGTCGAAGAGAAAACCAACAACAGGCACTCTCTACCACTGCCCCATCCTCTGACTGAGGGTGTTGCAGCCCCAAAACCTGACATACAAAGTGGATCTAATACTCAGAAAATTGAAAGACACGCATTCTCTGGTCCATTGGCAAGTAAATCATCATCGAACAAGCCCATATTATCTACCAGTGGACCCATTGGCTCTACTGAACTACCTCAATCTGTTTCTGGGTTACTTTCTCATGTACATGTGTCCCAGTCATTATCAATAAATGTATTCCACGGTGCTTCCCTTGTATCTTCTCCCAAAATAAGCGAGCTTCATGAGCTCCCTAGGCCCCCTGATTCGTTAGGCTCCAAGCCTGCATTTTCTTCTGGTGCTCTTGGGCATTCTGCTCCCCTGGTCAACAGAAATCGAGAAGCATCTCCTACAAAGAGGAATACTTTGCGGCCATCAAAAGAAGGATCTTCTCTTCCACTTCCTCAACTAACTGTTCCACGAAGTTTATCCATACCCTCTATTGGTCAGAGAGCATTAGCTTTACATGCGGGCAAGCTATTGGAATCTTCCCAAATTGAGATCAAGACTGAAAAAGTGGCTTCTCCTCCATTAACACCTATTTTCCTATGAAACACGAAGTCATGAATTCTAGAAGAGTAAGAGGCAAGTACTGTACTTATAGATGTTCCTTTTATACCTTATATATGTTACTACCTGGATTGTACATTCCTTTGACTATGATTGTTTGAAGAAACCACTCCTCTTTCCTCTCCCACAGATGAAAGAAAAAATCATGATGGGTGCTTGATTTCTCTGACAATTTATTTTCGTAACAGTTGTTGGGCTTGATGGTTTCATTCTCATTAGTATTTTTTTGCTTTTTGTGTTGGGGTAGAATACATAGGGGATAAAGGGGAGTTTTGGGTGGAAATGACTGATCTGGCAAGAACCAGTCTGCATTCATTGGAGACCATTATATTAATGATCTTCCTCTTCGTCTCCACTCAGTCTCAAGCCATGAAAAACATTGATGCTCTGGGTATTGAGTGGTGATGACACCTGGATTTATGCTTAATTGGAGAAGATTGTGTTGCTTGCAATTTTTTCTTGCATTTGAAAGTAAACCTTTCATAATTAAGAAATGACACAATTATTGGAAAAAAAGGGCTTGATGTTTGGGCATCTCTAGCTTTATGTTCTGATTCCAGATCTTGAAACTTTGGTGGATGCAGGTTGGAGATTTTTTCCGTGGCTTCAGTTTATGGGATGTTATTTCCTTGGCTTCTGTTAATGGAATGTCTGCGTTAGTTTGGTTTATTGGGTCTGCTTCTATTATCTTACCAGTTCCTTTCTGGGTAAGTGTGTGTAAATATAATCTTTCTTGTATCTTTGTCGATGATCTTTTATTCAGTTCTTTTACCATTCTCAACCATATTTTTCACGCTGGTACTACAAGAAAAGCTGCTGTGACGATTTTGACATGATTACGAATGGTACATTGTGCAACTGTTTTTCCCTCTCTGGATGAGATAGAAAAGAAAGACGCACTTGTTTCTGTAGAGGAATCTTAATAGTTTTTTTTTTCACTAACAAATTGCTGTCGAGAAATTTGATGAATTTCTGGAAATGCTACTAATTAAAAATGTTTTATAACTGATTTGTTTGGATTTTGAGCAATATCTTGAATATGTCAACGACAAAAATGAAATAGTGGATCCTATTTGGGCAGTGGTGTGTGGAGGTGTTCCCATGTATTTTTCCTTGTCCTAGACTGGTTTTGTAGTTTAAATAATAAAAGATAGTGGAGAAGTTGTTGGGCACATGGTGGTATTGAATTGATAGTGAAACAGATTGAAACTCTGGGAAGCTCGTAAACTAGATTTGAAATTATATTATATTCTCACGTATCGTTTATATATGGACCAAAACAAAAAGTATGTAACATTGTCCTATTTGGTACATATTATTTTTTTCATTCTCATTCTTCTTCTCGTTTTCAACTTCACATTTTTCAATAAAATAATATTTTCCTTCACATCAATAACTTTTCCTTCATTTTTAACCACACATTCTCCATCAATATACTATTCAATAATACATTTTTTCAAAAAAATGTGTCCTAAACACACACTAAGAAATCTTATTTAATGTTATTGAAATAATAATTTTTGTCAAAAATTTTCCTAGTTTACATTTATTTAATTATTAACATTTATTAGTAAATTATTATTGGAAGTAGTAAAACTGGTTTTGTTTTTCATACATTGTAGGTCCTATTTGGTACATATTATTTTTTTCATTCTCATTCTTCTACTCGTTTTCAACTTTACATTCTTCAATAAAATAATATTTTCTTCACATCAATAACTTTTCCTTTATTTTTAACCACACATTCTCCATCAATATACTATTCAATAATACATTCTTTCAAAAGAATGTGTCCTAAACACACTTTAAGAAATCTTATTTAATGTTATTGAAATAATAATTTTTGTCAAAAATTTTCCTAGTTTACATTTATTTAATTATTAACATTTATTAGTAAATTATTATTGGAAGTAGTAAAGAAATTGAATGATTAAACTTTCAAAAAGTATTACATTTGTACAATTTCACGATTAAGTGGGGAAAATTAATTATATAATTACGCAAATTAAATAAGAGCATATTAGTAAATGAACAATTGTTAGAACTCGCGTGGCCAAAATTTCTTCGGCACATTCATTTGAAGCATGAGAGATCTTGTAGTCTCCAAAATATGTCAATTTTCTTTTAGCTACTCCATTTTATTATGACGTACCAATACAACCAGTTTGATGAATAATGCCTTCATTACGAAGAAAGGTAGGAAGGGGACCTTTTGCAAATCCAATCCCATTATTCGAACGGAAAACCTTGATTTAACTGTTGAACCGAGTTGCACCATGCTATGAAAATTCTTGAAAAAGGGTAAACTTCATTATTAGATTTCAGTAAATAGAAAAGTAGCACGAGAATTATCATAAATAAACAAGACAATATTTAAAATCATCATATGAAACCTCATAAATCAGAATGGATTGAGTCAAAATGTAACACCCCGAATTTTATTCACTACTTTCACGCTGGCCTAAAAATTTATGTTGGTCACTTAGCAATTGGAATAGTCAATGTGTAACATTTTCGTCATACTAAAGTTCAAATGTTAATATGATAAGTTTAACCCGCCTATTTGCATAATGATTTATTGTCTTATGCATATATTTTATTTGAATTTACCGTAACTTTTATTTGGGGACAAATATTTATGTATTATAGTAGTTGATGAAAGATATCAAACATTATACTCATTTTATAGTCCGTATTAAATAAAATTATTTAGAATAAGAAAAAAATGATTTTGAACTAGTTATGTTCGAGTTATTCTAATAGAAAGAAAAAAGTGTTATCTCTAATATTTTATTAGTATTTCTACATAATATATAAAAAGAAAAGTATATTGTTTTCAATTTTTTATTTATAAAAGAAAGATAAAGGAAAGATGTTTTGGAGATTGGACGGTTGAAAAATTTAAGAGGACAAAACGTAATTAAATAAAATTTAAACCTCATAAATCCCATTTAAAAAAGGATAATGACTTTAATTAACATCCATTAACTTGATTAACTTGAATGCTTTGATTGGAGTTATTGATCAATCTTTGGAATTGCCTTGGAGTTACGTGTGGGAGATGTATATATATGTGGTGTGAGATGAGAGTGTTTCTTTGAGAAATTTCATAAATTCCTTTCTAATACACACTCTATCCTTTTACATATTATCATTCTAAATTACATTTCAGATTTACTTGGTATCNTTTTTATATTTATATCACGTTAATAAGAATATGCACGTATTCTTACTGAATGTTTTCAAAATGCTCACTCTTACAACAACTTTTCAAGTTAGAACGGTTAGTGTGGACGCGTAGAAGATTGATCGAGTAACACTTATGTGGTCGTCAAGTAAATAAATTAAGAAATGATAAATTGCAAATTTATATTTGGAGAACATCATTATGTTAAAATTTTATGCACATGATTTAACAGCTCTCTTATTGTGTTCGAGCATTTGACGTTTAAGTTAAATTTATATTGTTGGGTAAAATTTACTCGAATTGTATTTTTTTTTTTTATTATCATCGAATTATCTATCACATTTCAAATCCGTTTAAATGAGATAAAGAAATTTTCGGTAACACCTCAAATCCATTTTTGTACAAGAAAAAAAAAGAGAGAGATAATAGAAGTTATAAGTATAAGGATTTCGGGGCGTTACACAAAAAGTTTAATAGGCATGGATGAAGAATTATTAAATGGTAGACCACTTACTTGGAAAATTGACAAGTGTTACAAATATTAGTTTCGAACGACATAGATGGAAACAAAAAAGATAAAACACGGTTAGAAGGATGTCAAATATCTTTGATGCACAACATGGTTTTTTTAACATGGCACTTTTAAGAGAGGTTGCATCGAATGGATTCAACAGATAAAGCCATATGAGTAGACATTTTCACCGATCTTTTTCCCCCAAGTTCGATTCTGAAACACAATATCATTAGGAGAAAAATAAAATTGCAATCAACGAGTTAGTTATTTTTTTCAAGAGAAAGAAGTTGAGTTGGAAATGAAGGGATTACAAGTGCATCTGAACAAGACAGACCACGAAAGAAATTAATTTTTCCACATCCACGGACTGTAACTAAGGTACCATTAGTAATTGAAACATGTTTGGATAAACTTTTTGAGAAATCATTCAAAGATGCTACATTATTTGCGATATGATTAGTGGTACCCGAGTCAATAATCCAAGTATTTAAATGTTTAAATGTACATGAAGAGAAAAAGGCTTTGATGTTACTGAAGATGATAAGTGCATTTTATGTGCATATCTTAGCTCCTATTCTTATTTATTTATATATAAATTGAGCGATTATCTACTTAATTTGTTTAAATTATGTTAATTGTAGCTTAATTGGAGTTGATTTATAGCAATTGAAGATTAATCGAATTGCAAGAGATCAATTGAAAATGTTAATGGAATATTTGGTAAAAATTCATAAGTTTTGGAGAGTTAAATTCGACATCTGTAAAGTTTGAGGACTAAATTATAAACTCCAAAACTTATCTCAAGTCATCTATTATGATTTCGGAATGACGATGACTTAATTATAATATTAGAAGATGAAGGGCTAAAGTCACATGAAAATGAGTTCAATTGAAAAAAGAATTTGTTTCCTTTTAATTTTTTAAACTCTTTGGTAGAAACCAATTTGAACTCTTTGATGGAAATCAAGTTGAACAAGGATTTTACATAAATCTTGTTCTATAAATCATACCTTAGTCCAACAAAAAAGAGACATGTAGGATTTCATTATAAATATATATTAAAGCCAAGGTTTAGGGGATTCATTATACATAATAGTATTCAAGCCCAACTAGAGGAAAAATCAAGAAATCAATAAAGAAGCTAGGGTTTTAAGATTTCACAAGAAGGCGGTGGAATCTTGGTGCAAGATCTTCGTTTTTTCTCGTTTTTCCTTAAAACCCGATTATGTACTTTATTTCTTGCTTGTATTTTTATTATCCCATGATGTATAATTAAGTATTCAGTTATGATGGATAATTATAACCTACTTTTGAACCTTAATTTTAATTAAAATGTTTTAAATCTTCAATTGATTTTGTGAATTATTTTTACTTCCAATCTTAATGCTTGGATTAATCGGGTCACTAATTCATTGATTTCATGATAAATAATTACGTAGAGATGCAGATTATTTGTTTAGACTACGTAGTAAAAACTTGTAATTTATTATAAAACGTAGAGATACTTATGCTAGTCATTGCGGTCGTTATATGAATTCTTCAACAATAATTGCACTTAATTAAAATTGATTCAGATAGAGATATGGAACTGAATACTTAAATGACTTAATGAGAACTCGAAATAGATTAATTGAATGCATTAGAAGAATTCAACTGAGTAAACATAATCAATTGTATAAAACTTAGTAATTGAGATTAAGGGGATAATTAAGGTAAAATCATGAATCCTAACACTTAAAACCAACATATAACAAAGCCACTTTTATTTTAGCATATTGAAAATAGAAAATCAAAAAAGAAAATGAACACTTTCTATTTCTTTTCAATCGAAATTGAAGCAAGACTAATTTAACTAATTGTTAAATAGTAGTTCTTGTGAGAACAATATCGACAACAAAAGACATGAGTGCTGGAAGAAGGAGTTGATTCTTTTGGACTAAGATAACTAAGTTTTCAAAGATTTTGGACCAATGAAGCTCCCAATAACGATCCTTAAAGTGTACTAACTTATGACAGTAATCATATTTTGGACTTCACGTCTTCCTTTGTTATGAGGTCGAGTCCTTTCATTGTTCCTAAATTGTTTCCTCTTTTCATCTCTTTTACAGTAGGATCAGTACAACCAAATATATGCTTTGATTCAGAATTCATAGTCTTTTTTCGAGTTTCTTCTATGTGCGTAGTTGCACACACACTCAAAAAATCTAGAAGGGTAAAACTCATAAGGATATGATTTCTTAAATTCTCATACTTCAGCTTCAAGCTACTCAGCAAAGAAAAGATCTTATATTTTTCAGCCATTTTTAAAAAGATTTTTGCATTAGTTGTATGTGGACGGTACATGCCAATTCGTCCCACATTTTCTTAAGATGACAAAAAGGTTCGATGAGCGTCTTATCTTATTGCTCAGCAGCGACATTTTCCTGTTTCAGTTCAAAAATTCTAGCAGCATTATTTTGATTTTTATAAAGTTCTTTGACAAAAGTCTACAATTCTTCCGTGAAATCTAAAAAGGTGAAGATTTCATCAATATGTGCTTCTACTAAATTTAGATGTCAAGCTTGAACGAGTTGATCATTAGAAATCCACCCTTCATATTTTGGATCTGCAGAATTTAGACAAATCGAAGTGCCAGTGATAAAGCCAAATGTTTTCTTTCCATCAAATGACTACACGACTCTCGACTATGATATGTAATTTATACCATTTAAGGGAACAATAGATAGCTTTCATTGAGGATTAACATCATTATTCATCATTATAGATGGATTAACAACTTTCTTGGTCATTTCAAAGTTAAACATTCAAAACAAAATTCCAATAACCGAAAAATTCTAGACTCGGAAACCTGAAAACACAAACAACTGACCTTGATGGTGATTTTGACCCACCAAACACTGACATGTGAAGTGACACCTATGATGAGGTGTATCGATCGTTAAGATGAGATCACGTATCCTTTCATCAACAATAACTTCATCATTTCTACTATAAATGCTCACATTCAATGCAATTTAAAGATAATGCCATTTACACTCGTAGTATTATTGCTCTCGTTATTCTCTCTATACAACCCCAATGCCTGTACACTCCTATGACTCACATCTTCCGTCCATTCCATATCAAAATATATATCTACAAGTTGACTGACTCGACTATTGAAATGGTCACAACTGCCTCCCCCATCGCCAAAAAAGGCCATGTGCTTCCAACGATTTATCTAAATATGCAGGAGTTATATGCGTAAACTTGAGTGAAGTTGAAATTTGTTGATCACGTCACTAGTCAGAAACCGAGCCAACATATTCTATTTAGATAATAAAAAAAATTGAGAAAAAATAATTTTCATGCCAGACAAATTCTAAAAAAGCATCGGCATTGTGCACCACGTAAATGTTACAATCTTTAATTGGGCTTTCTAGGCAAACATTTTAGTCCTGTCAAGTAAACTTAACTATCAATCTATATCACATACAACAGAACGAGACTAAATACACTGTTTTCTATTCCAGTAAACTACACAAGTTGTGGAATAACAGGATACACTGATGAATGTCAAGTAAAAATGGGAATATATATAGAATAAGTAGTTGAGAAAGGATTTTTCAGAAGACATCCGTGGGAAAATGTTGTACATCCTGCTAATCCCAATTTTAATTGATACTCTAAGGGAGCTTAGAAGCCTCAAGCCGCATCCAACTACTTTTCAGATTTCATAATCATCCTCTTCTACTGCAACCCTACTCCAACTTGGGCCTCTTAGGGAGAATAACTTTGTCCGATCAAGATTACTTCCTCTAAAGCCCGTTATTTTTGATGAACCAATGGGCATCACAAAAACAGAAGATGCATGCATTGATTCTTCTCCCAAACCTAGTGACAATGAACAAGCAATCTGCACAGAAACCAAAATTTCCCACATTTTATATTTCCAAGTTACAATTCGGTTGATAAAACTAACAAGTCAGCAAAACAGAACCTTTGCCTTGACCATCAAGTTTGCAGCCTTAATCCGAATCACTTGTGCAAGTGATCTCATATCTTTAATTTGCGAATCGTCAGCAGGCGTTACAAGCCTGTATTATTGCACACCAAGTGCAAATGAGGGACAATCACATAGGAACATTTCCCAGGATATGAAGATACGTAGTTAAGGGGAAGGGGAAGCTGTTATTTTTTATTTTTGAACTAGGGTAAGCTATTATTACAAAACACATTATCTGTTAAATGACTTAAAATAAGATTAAAGATGTGATTATATAGTCAAATTGTATAAATTAGATTTTAGTAAGTGAAAATCATTTTTCACCCAAACCAGTATATGTTCGTTGTATCATACCTGTCCATGTCATTCTGAAGACTTGAAGGAATAGAAACCGGAGCAGTATCCTTGATTTCCCATCCTAAAAGGATTTTTCAAATTATTTCCCATATTTTCCCTACGCACGAGAAGAATGCAAAAGGAACTCTTTACAAACATACCTTTTGATTCATCTGGTGCCAACAAAGAAATGCCTATAAATACTGAAATCATTCCCAGTATGAACATTGTAGTTCGCAATGTGTCAAACACCTGCTCGAATAGCATTCAACAGTTCAGCATATTACTGTCAACTCGAGGCGTAAAAACAAAAAATCGCAGGTAACACCGTGTGTGGAAACTGAAGTAACTTTTACAGCTAGACATCAATGACAAATTAGGGATGCCAAGGGTGTGCAACTCACAGCAACCCACAAAAATAACACTCTCAAGTAACAACTGTATCAGTATTCGTTCTTTAAGAAACCACACTACATTTTCTTGTCAAAGCACGAATCTCAAGATTTTCTGAACAAGATAAAAGAATCAAAATTATCCCATCCACAGTAGGGCATAAAGTTGAGGATAAACCTTTGACCTCTGGAGGACTAGGTTGAACAGTATATTTGAAGAAATAAGCTCACCATATTAAGTTGAGAACTAAAGCTTATGTTACACTGAACTTATAGGTCTAGCAATCAACAAAAACAAATTGTTACTCTTAGAAGGAATAAGAAATAAACACCCTACATCTATTGCCAACCAGCAACAATAGGTCAGCAAAGCAGGTAAAATTCAATGGCACAGAGTCACTAGAAATTGAAAAAACCTGGTGTGTAATTTGAGAAAGGGAGTGACAGAAGGGAGCACCTGATATTCCTGGAAATATACAAATCCTGTACAAATAGAGAAAAATGTCCAAGCAATCTGAAACATAGGAACAATGAGCATCACATCAAAAAGAGACAGTCCTTCATTCAACCTTGCCATCTGCAGACATGTTACCAAACAATATCAGCATTTAACATGATTCAATATCTCTTTTAAAATTTGTACTTCTCCTACCACCAGATGGCGAAGAACTGGATATAAGTCATCATGATTACCCAAAATCCAGCTGTACTAAGAAATGATATAAGCATGGAGTAAGTGAACCAGCTATGCAACTGATAGCCAGTTGAAATGGACAATCTTAGCAAGTTTGAGCTGCAAGAGTGAGGATGGAGAAGCGTCATAAACTAATGTGCTCCACACATGTTTACAACAAAGAGATGACAAAACCATATGGACTACTTACAGAGACTTTGCAAACAATACTGAACATGATCCCACAGCACCTGAAACAATAGCATAAGAAAGCGGAAGAAGCATGTGCCAGTAAGGCTGAATGTCATTTCCAGGGTTGGTGAACAGAAATTCTCCTCTCCTGCATTTAAAGATATGATTGCAATGAGGAGAAACATAAAGCATTGGTTATTGGGCCAAGAAAAAAATTATGGAGAGATTAGTAAAATGATTCACTCAACTTCCATTCTTTGGAACATTACCAAAATTATACCTCACCTATATACTGAGTGATGCAAGCCAACAATCAAAACCAAAATTAAACAATAAATCAGGAATGTAGCGTTTCCATACTTCTCTGCCAATTGCTCTGGGGTGTAAACTGTGAAGAAGGAAAGGATATACCAACTTATCAATTGCCCAAAAATCATACAATTTTAATTTAAAACTCGTACAGTATACATTAAAGGTAACCCAAAGTTGGGGGCATAAGCCCATGGACTGACATGGTACTTCTATGGAAGAAGCATTGGATGATGCATGGGGCACTTCCCTGTACAAATTTCCATGGTCGGACATTCGTTGTTATGTAGAATACGGTAGCCAATATGCACTTAGTTTTCAGTTCAAAGTCTTTGTTCTTTAAAAAATATACTAGGATTAGCAAGTAACTCAACAAAGCTTTAGTACATCTTCTTTGTCCTGTCAAACAATTTGAGGAAATGAGTGATCTTATTTAGAGCCCATTTGTTTTGGATTAAAATCTGATTTTAATCTAAATCAAAGTCAAACAATCAATATTAACCATATCTTTCATGGATCCCACAACTTTTCAACCATACATTTCAAAAATTTCTATCACAATCTACTAAAAATCTAACTTCAATCCATACCAAACACCCTCTTAAAATGTTCCAAAAGGCAAGCAAGTGTTTTATGTTGAACTTGGAACAGTTGGGCGGCATAGATTAAATAGCAAAGGGCATCTGTGTTATTTCTATTAAAAATATTTAATTAGTTAACAGTTTTTTTTCCTTCGAGTAAATTCAAAGGCTATTTGAAGTTCAAGAAGTAAGCTTCCCCTCTAGAATTAAAGTATTAAACTACTATTTGATGGATGATTCAGTTACAAGCGACACTTTTTTCCAATGAATCTATTGTATGATTCAGATTTTAGTTAAAGTATAGCTTGTATTAATTATCTCTAAATCCAATATTCTCAACAAGTTGAGAAGAGAATGTTACAATATTTTGAAAATTTAATCGATCTCAATGTAGAACAATTGATAAAGTTCTTCATGGCATGCAAGATGGTGGACCTAGTGTTCTAATTACTACTTAGTAACATTAAGAGAAAAAGGAAAATAAAATATACCAAGGTTAACAAGCTCTGCACTAGAAAATTACTGTGTTAGAATCAATATCAGTTAAGAAATTTTCTGGGGACAGAAAGCTTTCTCTGTTATTGTTCCTAGATCTTGACACGAACATTTCCAACAATGTCGATACAAACATTATGGAGCTTGTCAAGCGACTTTGCCAAACATGTTTTATCCCTAGAATGATTTCTATTCATTTTTCCTCGTGCTCAAGAATACGTTGCAAACGGCATTAATCTTGGCAAATAAGGAGTGCGACCCTACAATACATTTGGTAAGCATATTCTCAATTGCAAAACATTCCTGATCAATAGGGTGTATAATTTTCTCTAGGTAGTCAAACAAGTTCATTAGAGTAACGCTATTTATTATTATGATAATGAAACATCGGTGATGTGACAACCCATTATCCCCCACATTTCTTTTTCTCCCTCCCTCTCTCTCTCATAAAAATTTAATTTTTCAATCCCGTTATTCCACATATATTGCCACATCATCGATGTTTTATCATCATAATGATAAATAACATTATTCGTTCATTATGAGCTTTTCAAGGCATAAGGATTTCACTGATCATATGGTACCTCGATTAATGACACGAGGCACCCATGTTAGATCGACATCATAAAATACACCATGCAGTGTAGTGTAATCCTTTCTATCATGGGCTATAGCAAATATTTGAAAGTGGTTCAAGTGCAAGAAGTGTGTATATTTTACGGTGGATATTATGAAAAGGAAAAATTTCCAATCTTTAACATCATATAACAATTTTTTAAAACTCCATCATCACAAACACACTTCCTCTCAATAACTTGGTTACCCAGACAACCAGGTATGATCACTTAACATTTTGTAATGTAGTCCCAAATTTCAACCATCAAAACTCAATTATCTTTTGTACATTGTTATTTTGAAAAAAAACATTTAGAAGTAATGTATGGCATAATTGGTGCTGAAAGTCAAACCACAAAACCTTGTGACATACCAGGTGATTGATGGTTTCCGAAAGCAACAAGGAAGATGTTTCCAAGAACAATAAAGGCTGTGGCCACAAGTACCCTGTAAAAGAACCGAGAGCCCATGATATGAATAGTCTAGAAAGTCAAGAAAAACATAACTAACAGAAAAATAAAAAAACATGTTATTTGATCATTCTGGAGAAATGACAAAATTTAAGAGTTTAGACATGAACTGATGAACATACTTAACAGTCACAGTTTTATTTAATACGAAGAAGGCAAAGGCGATGTTTGACACAAATTGGATAGATCCCAGAGCTGCCAGAATGGACTGCACAAAGCAATTGAGATACCAAAGTGAAAAGAAGATTAAAAGAAAGAAAAGGAAAAGGGATGAATATATAGATGAATAAATATCTGCCAAAATTATTGATGCAAGTAAACACTTTGTCTACATCATACTGACCTGAGCAGCATATCCAAAGGAAATGAAGTTCAGACAATTTCCAATAATGAAAAAAAGAATGCCTGCATCGATAAGCATTGCAATTTTGAGCATGATTAAAGATTTTATTGAAACTATTGAATGAAAAGAAGCAATATGCAACTGAAGTTACCAATTCTCCAAGCCTGGAAGTAAATTATGGGCTTCATAACAGTCTCCCCATTCTTCCCATCACTGGTAAGCATTGAATGTCTCTCTCTCTGCAAATTATTCACTCATAAAGGCAAGCAATAAAGAGAATCATGAATATTTGCAATATGCAAAAGTAGGTGACCATTATTCTTGCTTTCAATCTTTCCTTTGTGTGTACATGTAGAAAGTAGGGAGGAAGGGAGAACCAACATGATAATGATGCACAGCAATTAGTAGTACAGTTTTAAAACTCATTTATAAGCTCATAAGGATTCCAGTATTCCAACCCAAAATCAGATGGTTTTAAGCAGAGAAAGACGATATTTATAAATGAATATTAAATAAGCTGAGCTCGATAACCAGCTAATAAAGGTTAAATGCACAAAAGCAACAAGAAGTTTTCACTGTAAAGCCCTTTCAGAAAAAGTAGAAGAATTTAAGAAAACTTGTCAGCAATCAACTTGAGATAAAACTGGAAAGCCTAATGTACCTCGTCATGACCCAATTTAAGAAGGTTTGTTCCAAAATTGATGGCAATGCTACCGAAGAAGTTGATGAAGGCTCCAACTATCCACTCGCCCATAGATAAATGATGTGTTGAAGACAAATTATATTGGAAATTGATGGTTCTATTCAACTGCATCCATATTTGATGCTCCGGAGTCCACTTCTGATAAACATGACATCCAGTATCATTTATCAGCTTCAAGCCTAGTTTATCAAAAATTGTAGCCGTAGGAGGATTGGGGAAGTAGATCGATGGGAAGACGAAGACCACAGATCAATTTAATACTAATGAAAATCTATAAAAGCAAAGAAACATGATAGGGGCGAGGCAAGGTATGTTTCCTACATTCAAGAATTACAACACAAATAAATTACGAAAACAAAACCATTTACATAATCAACTGACATGTTTTGTATAGAAAATAACCAAAACCATGATAATGGCGCTCGTTATTGAGAGGTCATATAGTTGGGCAAGAATGAAATAGTCACGAGTCAGCTCTAAATTAGATTGACACGAATAAGACAAAATCAACATGATAAATCGATAATAATGACGAAAAGAGGAGAAATTGAGAAGCTCCAGCATCTGGGTTTTAAAGCAAAAGGAGTTTCTCTCGATCCAATTGTGGTTGCATGAAATCCATATTGCAATCCAGCAATGGCATACATCAGGATAAAACAACGCCGAAAGTCTTTATATGTTGAAAGGAATCAACAAAATGGAATTTTCAAAATAAAACTCCCTAAATCGGAAATCAGAGGATTTTTTTTTTATAAGAATAATAACAATTACATAAATAAACAAAAAAAGAGGGTGTGTGACAAAACCATACCGTGAAAGGCCGGCGTTGAGAAAATCAGAGAGCCCTCTGTTGGATATACAATCTAATGGCCAGAAATATTGAGGAATCCAATAATGAAGCTTCTAATAATAGTGAATGGTGACACTCAGATGTAATTATCCCCAAAATCAAGAAGAAGAATTATTTGCAGTTATGTTGGAACTCGTATAGAAGTAAGAAAAATCGGATGAAGCCGCCGAGTCTTGATAGTTGAACGCTGATATCCTCTTTCTTCTTTCCTTTTCTTTGTTAATTTTTAGGAATAAATTTTGCGCAGACTCTTTAGAACGGGCAATTTCATTTTTTTTCTTTTATTTTGAACGACAAGACAAAAAGTAAAACTTTTGGCATTTGCTACGTATGTAACCATCTTATGTTTTTCGGTATGCGGTAGAAACAAGACAAAAAAAGATGCATCACTTTGAATATACTTTTCTAGAAGAATGAGTTAATATTCCTCAACTAGGATGCTCAAAAGGATTTATCCCATGTTTAGTAACTTGGAGGCTTTGGATTCGAAGATGTAAAGCAAGAATGAAGGGATTGTATGAATCAGTTGAAGATGTTGTTCTGTCCATTCGATTTTGGTTGCAGCACTTAGCAACTAATGTTAAAAAGACCAGAGTATTAACACGGGAAGAGGAAAAGTTTCTAACAGATATGGACATTCCTTGTGTGGTCAGGAAATTATCACCAGTACATTTGGTGACTTGGAAGAAACCGATGGTTGGGAGAGCAAAGCTTAATATAGATGGAAGTAGTTTGGGAAACCCAGGCCAGGCAGGTGGAGGAGGAGGAGGAGTGATTCGTAATGATAAAGGGATGGTGCTGGCAGCGTTTGCCACTAATTTTGGGATAGCATCGAATAATGAAGCTGAGCTGAGAGCTCTGCTTGAGGGTCTTAAATTTTGCCAACATATAGGAGTTTTCCATGTTGATGTTGAATGTGATTCCAAGATTGTTGTAGAATGGATGTTGAAATGCAAGTGTATTGTTTGGTATTTGTGGGATTTTTGGGAGGAGTTATTGAATTTGATGAATTTATTTGAGATTCAGGTATCACACCAGTTTCGGGAAGGGAATCAAGTGGCGGATTTACTAGCAAAAATGGGTGCACATGGAGTAACGCAACGTTTTACGTCTGGTACTGACTTGCCTATGTATGCTCGAGGCCTTGCACGGTTGGATCGCATTGGAGTTCCCTATATACGTGAATGAGTTAATTTGTCTCGTTCTTCTAAGGTTGTAAGACTGTTTTGTCCCACAGTTTTCCTCCGCCACAAGTGAGGGTTACTTTCAATAAAACTAATTTCGTGTTAAAAAAAAAAAAAATTCCTCTTCTCGTTTCATATAAACTAGAATTTTTTTTTAGCAAAATCAGAAAATTACATAATTTGTCTTCAAACCTTTTTATTGTTGTTTATTTGGTGAAAGAAAACTGCCATTTTACAAGGCACATCTAATGCACGTGCAATAATATTTTGACATACCAAGTTCGAAGGGACACACCAAATCGATTTGCATTGTGGTGCCATGTTGGATGACAATATTGTTAAACAAGAAACTTTAATCTTTGATTATTAACAATTTTATAATAACGTGCAACGTCCCAAAACCCGATGCAAAGAAAGGATGGGACGACAGTGTCCGACCCAAAAAAATAGAGCTGACATTCATGTTTTACTCTTTTCACGTTCAATTTCTTACTTACACAATGAAGGCAAAAAACACACTCAATGATACGTGTGGCAAAATAGCTATGGAAGAAGGCCGTTAGGTAAAGATTACAATGTCCTTTGAGCATTTGGAGGAGACTAAACTTGATATCAACAAATTCAAATTCAGTCTTTGGAAAAGACATGTGGCATTGGCAAAGAAGAAATATAACACCATATCCAAAGAAAAACTTGTATAGATGAAGCTTACACTCTTGCACAACTATAAGAACATGATTCATGCAACAGCTGTGACCACAGTAAAGGTGGGATGCACACCCTCCTGGGGATCTTGGGTTCATATGCGAGTAGAAGGGTACATGAGACTCAAATTAGCATAACTTGAACTTCGGTTCTTGATGATATGTTCGGGAGTCAATTCTAGACTCATCAAATTTCACATGATCTAGAATTGATAACTTACTGGAAACTTCGTGCCAACTTATGGCAACGCAAAAGGCAGAACCCGCATGGGCAAAAATAATGATAACTTGTTTTAGACTCCATATGGACAGTAACTTATAAATAGTTTATAAATTCAGCCAAAGTCACGCATTAACATCAATGACACATTCATAACTATTAATTATTATATACAAATTTCGTAATACTCACTACTATTACTATTACTATTACTATTTATAAACCATTTATACATTTGCCAAATGGAGGCATAGATTTTTTTCTACTTTGAGTTGGAGTAGCCTATTGGGAGAGGAGAAAAGTTGGCTCAAGTGCCTCAACACTCATCGAGTTGTTGTCCTGGTACCAATTCATTTTAGTTCAATTAAGTGCTTCAATAGTGAATGGGGAAACCATTAGCTCAGATTCGACAGAATAATTAGTAAACAAAACTTCACAAGACCCAAGAATTTCTTGACATTGAGGAAGTGTGGTTCAGGTGTTCAATAATCTGAATAAGTTTACTACATGGTCTGATGGTCCTGGCTCCATGTACCAGAATAAAATTAAGCTCAGGATATTCCATGTAAGGGTCCAAGCCCAAGCCTTAGAGGCAATGGCTAAATTGTTGCCTAAACTACCTAAAAGGGGGAAAACGGAAAGAGACAATGAAACATGTTGAGTTTTCATTATTTTTTAGGCTGCATGAGAATCCTTAAACAAGAACCTACAGAAATAAATTAATTCTTCACAGCAAAACCTTGAGCTTTCTCTATAACAAACCACATTTATTATGCATCCCCTCCACCACAACACGCACAGAACTTGTGAATTTCATCTTAACCAAGTAATCTTAAATTCATCCCTGAAATCAATTTGTTCTGCATGTTGGCTAAATACGGATCTGTGAAAGGTCTGAAATTCTGTCCATAGTTTCCGAAGAATGCTAGTTGAACAAGGTGCTGAACAAATAGTAGTCCAAAAGCGGGTTGTACTACCAAATCACTGTGAATACTTCACTAACAAAGAATCAATAAACATCAAATTACACAAACACACGTACGAATAGAAAGCTTATAATCATATCCTTAGCCTGTGGTTAGAGAGAAAACTGAGGGAAAGTAGAAAAGGTAGTAAAAGGATTTCTTTGATTAATAGAAATAAAAGACGGAAGCAAAGAGAAATGGAGAAAAAGCCCATTATTTCTTTCTCTCTCAAACTAGTAGGGATGGAGAGACTTAAGAACCAAGGCCAAATTAATAATAATTAGAGGATGTTTGTGTCACTCGACGTGCACATATATGAATTAGTCATCTCTTCCACTCATTCTCTCTCCATCCCAATCCCTCCTCTTCCTTGTAAGAAACAAGGTAGAGAAAGAAATGTATTTTCTCCAAGGGGAAGTGAATAAGTTAGTTTTCTATATTCTTCATCTTACCCTGCTTTTTCGTAGGGAAATATCCTTTTCACAGTTCTTATAATCTAGAAATACAATGATAAATTGCAGAATTTTCTAAATATTCATAAATGTTTGGTCAATTACTGATGGAGTACTTTGTCCATTTGGACCCAACAATTTGTTTGAGGGATTTCGTACTATTGGGTACCAACCAATATTATCATTCTTTTGATTTCACATCTTCTATTTCAACAAATCTGATTATATATACATTTCAGCCTTTAACAAGTGTTCTCTTCTCTTTCTAAATTTGAATTGCCAGGCACCAACTGTTGTAACTGTAGCACAAGAACATGACACCAAGCACGAAAAGATAGTCCAAGTATACCAATTCCCTCATGGGAAGGGGGAGAAAAACAAAAAAAGGGAAAGTGGGGAGGAAAAGGACAAAAGAGATGGGAAAAATATTGGAATGAAGTGATATTGCGCAAATACTCTTATATAATACCAAAAGAAAATGTACTTACAAAAAGTGAATATCGTAGAGCTTTGAGATTAGTTATGTACGAATGTATATACCAGTTTCCCATCTTGCCATCTACTCCCAAATCCCCTTAGTTGTTAAAACTTTGAAATAATATTAGTTACAAAATAATGACCTACATTGTTGGTATTTATGTTCCAATTCCATAATCACGTCTTTATGTAGTTTCAAGCAAAATAATTTCATATGCTGGACATAGTTATACTAGAAAACAATCATATTACAGTAGTTAATATATTCTTTAGGTAAGGCACAAATGCAGAACAATAGTACAAACTAAAGGAAATGACTTCACATCCCAAGATCAATGGAATTCACGAACATCCATATTCACTCGTCAGTCTGTAGACTGTAAGTCACCAACGATTACAGCATAGAGAAGATTTAGCAAACTTTGTTTTAAAGCGGTGGGAGTAAGGTCACATCACTCTGATGGTGTTAAGAGAAATACCAAAAATAGAAACCAGAAACAGAAGTATGAAAAAAGATGAGGGTAGCTAATAATAGAAGCAGTGCATCATCAACCAGCAACTAACGGACTACTGCAAAGCTGATATGCAAACAAGAATATAAGTAGCGATATAATAGTAAAGTGTCTCCTTCCAAAGAGTTTTACTATGAAATATAAAGAACAACAATTAGATGTCATCATAAATGCTCGGTTTCTTTTCACACACAATACTCCCTTGAAGTTCACATGAGATTACAAGGTTTCAGTTAACAGTGAAAAGAAAGAGCGAGAAATTGTGCAATACATACCAAGGCTGAGGGTATAGAAAAATGTGAAAGAAATCAAAGGTACCTAATTATCTTGACAAGGAGAACGAGTGGTGTAAGGAGTTTATGACTGAGTGCCGGTCATGGCCTTCATTTGAATGTGACTGGAATCAGCAGCGGCAGTGGGCAAGGCTTCGTAAGAACGGAGTCTGTTGTGGATGCCAACGGTCCTGGCAACTGCAGCATACACCACCATGAAGATGAGGAGCACAAGGAGCACGTGGAGCACGAACACCAGATCCAGAATCGCCACGGCCCTGAGCTTGGAATCTTCCAAATCGCACTTGGTTGATCCCTCTACTCCACTGACTACGTCGAGAAGCTTGTGGCAGCCCTCAGGAATGAAGGCGTCAACGTAGAGGGAGAGGCCAGTCTGTAGGGCCCACAGTCCCTGCAGGCAAAAGGATGCCCCCAGGGCGGCATCAACGACGAACAGCCTGGGCTGGAAGGCAATAACAAGACACAGAGCGGAGGAAAGGGCAAATATGCAGGCGGCAACGGAGTCGCACTTGGCCTGGAGATCGGAAGTCTGGACTGCGGCTGAGGCGGAGGAGACAGAATACTGGAGGAAGAAGATAGCGGATGCAATGGCAAAGAAGAGATCTGGCGGAAGAGGGAGAAGGGAGGTGACATCGGAGAGGAGGAGGGCAATAGAGAGAATGAGAAAGCAGAAGAGAACGGCGGCGGCCTGGAGGGAGGTGAAGCGGTGAACAGGGGTCCGACCCTTTAGGAGGGGATCGGCGTCGGAGGAGACGAGGAGCTGGTTGACCAAGGCAATGAAAAGACAGAGGATGATCAAATAGAGCTGGAGATACTTGAGCAATCGATTTGATGAAGAAGAGAAAGGGAGAGGATGGTAGGGTTTAGCTATGTAATCCCGTGGGTACTTGAGATGGTTTCTGGTGATGCAGATGAGATGGTACAACCCCAGGGATAAAAGAGCAGAAGAAGAGAATATATGGTAAATCAGGGCAGCCATTTCTCAACACAAATCTGTATTTCCTTGATACTATTTCAAGGAACTACCAACTACTACTGCGTTTTGGCTTATTACAGATCGACCATTCACCATGGTTGCCTCCTCTGTTGCTTTTCAATGTTAGAGGTTATGCTGTCTTCAACTAGCGGAGCGGAGCCGAGACTCAAAGCTCAAGCTTGGCTGGGATAAAAATGACATGGCCTTTTTTGGCCCAAGTCGAACCAAGTTAAAACTTGACCGAAAAATTGAAACTTGGTTCGGGCTTTCGGCTCGAGCCTAGCCGAGTTGAGTCGACCCTGCTCGAGGGTGCTTTTTTATTTTTTCATTCTAATTTTTTTAAATAATTTAAAATATTTACAATTTATACAAATTGTAAATTAAATAAAGGGATAATTATAACAGCGGTACCAAACCTTTTATTTAGTAGTAGACTTTGTCCAAACCTTTTATTTGTGTTACTCGCGGTACCAAACCTTTCAAAATGTCCGCAGCCGAAGTCTAAATGGAATGATTTCTGTTAGTTTGACTATTAGTTGACCAAATAATTGACTTTAATGTTGACTGATTTTAAAAGGTTAAAATGGTAATTTTACATTTTAAATAATAAAATAACCAAAATCAAATAATTAAAACTAAACACACATTCAACTTTCTTTTTCTCCATCCATTTACACCACTCTCACCCCAAATCTGCAAATTTGGATTTGGAACTTCGAGATTGCTTCAACAAGCTTGGGAATGGAGTACTCAGAACCGAAATGTGCGCTCTGTTGCAATGGCAGTGTCTCTAAGGAACTCTGCCTGTGCATTTAGTCCAAAACTTCATCTGATTGACCATGAAATTAGAAATCTAAAACTTTAGAAACAATTCTTCTTCTTCCCACCCCTACACTTATCCCCACCTTTCCCCACCCAACCCCAACCAAACGAACCAAAATCCACCCACCTCTACCGTGCCGACGTTCGCAATCCACCCACACACATGCTGCAACGACCGCCACAAGCGCCCAACAAATTAGCAGCAAGAAATGGACCTTACTAGAAACTTGCTTGGACGTCGTATAGAAAATCCCTAAGCCTTTTTTCAATCTCTTATCTCTTCTCCTCCTCTTTGGTCAAGATAGTCTATTCAACGGACCATTTCAGCAGGAAATCTATATTTTTATTGAGGAGCTCCATTTTTGTTTGGTTGTTAAGGTCCAAATCTTTAATTCGGCCTATGCAGATCTACGTAGTTGGGCAATAGGTTTCTAACACCTCGGGTTCGAAGATTTGAAGATGTTAATTTCCCAAATTTGCATATTTAGGGTGGGGGTGGAATGAGTTTTTAATTTTAATTATTTGATTATGATTATTTTATTATTTTAAAAAATGTAAAATTACCATTTTAACCTTTTAAAATCAGTCAACATTATTGTCAAAGTCAATTATTTGGTCAACTAATGGTTAAACTAATAGAAACTATCAATTTGGACTTCAGATGTAGACATTTTTGAAAGGTTTGGTACCGTTGGTGGCAAAAATGAAAGATTTGGTACCATGGGTGGCAAAAATAAAAAGTTTGGACAAAGTCTGCTACTAAATGAAATGTTGGTATCGCTGCTGCAATTATCCTTTAAATAAAAGTTACAATCTTTTTTTTTTTTTTTTGGGTTTAAGATCGATTACAATCAACGTAGATTGAGTTAAAGTTGTACACGAATAAAATATTTCGTTTACAGTTTTTTTTTTTGAAATAAATTTAAAACTACATAATTTTTTTTGAAATAATCAAATTAAAAACTTGCATTTTTTTTTTTTAATGTTACTTCTGATTTTTTATTTTTACCGACAAACATAAGAAGAAAGCTAGCTGTTATTTTAACTTAGCTGTCGTTACATAAAAAATTAGAGGCTGCCTATTTTTTTTTAATAGGCAACTACTACTGCTTGTTAAAATGGCCTGTATTAGGGCCCACTCGTCAGGGGCTGGCCCATCTGGCTCGACGAGCCACACGGGCCAACTCGGGTTAGGGCAGATGCCCCAAAATGAGGCTTGGTCTGATTCGCGGCTTGAACTCGATTTCTTCGAGCTACAAGTCGGGTCGGTTCAGACTTTTTCAAGTTGAGTCACGGGTTGTTCGAGTCGAGCCAAATTGACAACCCTACTTCCATCAATCATGCTATATATACATTTTTGTTTGTTTTTAGTTAGCATGATGATTTGTTGAAAAATATTGTGTCGTTGCTTTTTGGAAGTTGTGCACAATTTGTTATATATAAAAATATTATTTTGAGGATAAATATAAGTTTTATATATATGTGTGTATTAAATACACTAAAAATCTAATTTTAATTTTTACAAGGCTTAGTAAAATATATTATCCAAGCCAGGCCTATAGCAAAGTTCTATGTAGAACATATTTTTTAAAAAAGAAATCCAATGTCATATGCATGTAAGTCATTAACAGCAATACTTAGCCCTTGATGATCATTTTTGTCCTCAAATAATAATATTTTGAATAGTGATTTTTAGAAATCCTTAACCTACGTGATGATCTACATTTCATTCAGTTAAGTTGATAACGAAATCTTTAACCTAGGTGTACTCATAAGTCGAAAAGAGTTTTTGACTTATATTGACTTAATAATAGGATGAAAGATATGATCGATAATCGAGATTGACACACTTCATATCTCATAATTAATTGGATCATATTTGAAAAATGATTATAGTTTCATAGTAAATAAATAAGTTTGATTTTATCATACCACGTGACATTTTCCTTCACATGTATTGCCCTGACACATTATTGATGTCAATTTGGGACGACGAATATGAATTAATTAATCTAGGTGAATTAATGACAAGTTAAAGTGGTGTTTTAATTTATTTTATTTTGATCTAATCAAAATAGTAATTCCTGTCGTTATGTATCGTGATCGAAAATCTAATGTGTTACATATAAATGAGAACTAGAAGAATCAAATATACTAATTAATTAATTTACAAGTGTTGGACAATTAATTGTGTTACTTATTAATGGACCAAATTAATTATTTACATTAATTAATTAATGAACTAGATTAATTAATATTAAACTGTGTTAAGTTTAAGTGTTGGGCCAAACTTACTTGAACTTTTATTAATAAGCTATTAGGGTTTGAGAAATCAAAACAACACAATTATTATCTTGCTAGCACCAAAAAAAAAAAAAAA